TTCTGGTTTTCTTCATTATCATCCTGACCTTTTGCTTGCTATCAAGTACTTTGGGGACAAGTTGATGATCTGAGTATTGATGAAATAATTTAGCAAACATTTCTGTTGTTCTCGAATATGGCTTGACAGGACCAGTGATTTAAATAGGTGCTCGCCTAAGTGCTCGGGCGAGGCGAGGCCCGATTGCCTCGTGTGTGGACCAGGCGGTGCGCTTCAATGAGGCATCGCCTGGGCGCTTGCTCGAACCCAGGCACTAGGCGCTTCGGGCGAGTGACCGGTTTAATTAAGCGAACCGAACTGGTTTAAGTCTGGTTCGGTTCGTAGTTTCTTACTTAAAAAGCCATGCTTCATGCTCGCGTAACCTCGAGGAACCCTAGCGCTGCTTCTGCCTCCGTCGCTGACACTTTTTGCTGTAGACGCAGCGGACCGAGCCTTCCTCTATTGTCGATGGACGAGTCCAACGGCTCCCGTAGCTTCCTTCCGCTATCGCTTCCTTCCACTGTCGAGGGAGAGGACCGCAGGTTCCTTTGCCACCGACGAATGCTCTCTGGAGCTTCCGTCGCCGCTGCCGCTGCTGTCTGCAGCTTTCGCCACTGTCCGCAGCTTCCCTTGTTGCTGCTGCTGCTGTCCACTGCTTTCGTCGCTTCTGTTGTTGTCGTTTGTACCGCTGCCGCAACTATCTTAAACTAATCCTCTGCTACTGTTGCTATCTCCTTTTGTTATTGTTAACATTTTTTTCTCCCCTCTCTAACTTTAACTAATATACTGTTAACAGTATATTTTTAATTTAATATCATATTTTTATTTAAATAATTATATTTTTTAATTATATTATATATTTTTTATATTTTAATATTTCAGAGAATATTTTTTTCTCCCCTATAACTTAAGTAATATTACTGTTAACAGTATATTTTTAATTTAATATTATATTTTTATTTAAATAATTATCTTATATATTTTTATATTTTAAATATTTCAGAGCGTCCCGCTTTTCTCGGGTGAGTGCCTTGGGCGTTTTGGGACCTTGGCGCCTAGCGTTTTTTAAATCACTAGATAAGACTATCAGCATTTTCTACTGGGATGCTCATGGCAATGCTGTGTAGTGATGATTTGATCAGAGTGATCAGGTGGCTGGAAGGTGTAAGAGAGAAGGTATGAGGTAAATACCAGAGAGTTGAGAAGTTGGAAAAGATTGTTTGAGCCAGAGGCTGAAATAAATAAAGGCAATTATAATAGAAGATGTTGTACTGAGGTATTTAGTTTAAGTCAATCCCAGTGCATAAGAGAGCTTGCAACTACGCAGACAAAGAGTTTTGAGTAGTTCCAAATTGTTTTGTTTCAAAAACAACTACTTTTAATTTTTCTTTATTTGGCTTTTTTTATACAGATTTTTGTAGGTAACAAGACATGGTGCTCGGATTAAGACAATCTTCAAGGCATTGGATCAAATCTTGGTTATACTGCTCAATATGGGTTGGTATTTCTAGTCTAATGGTCAAACATGGACTGAACAATTTGCTCAATCCGGCTCAAAACCAAGCTTATCATTTAGAAAGCTCACCGTATCGGATTTGTTGGATGTTAAGCTGAGTGATATCAAATTGTAGTAGACAGCAAGCCTAAGTACTGGTACCAGGGTCCCTTCTTTTGGTTTTTAAATTCTGACGACCATACATGAATCTTTTTCTTCTTTGCCATGCCATGGTCTTCACCAAGTTTCTTTCCTACTTTCCCTATGCTAGCAACAAGAAGACCACCTTTGTACTCATCTATTAAAATACTCGTGTATTCCCCCCACCCTCTCCTACTTGTAGTGGTCCAGTTGTTATTGACTAGCACAGACACATGGTATGGCGGTGCGAACAATGTCATAACAATTTGACCAAGAACCAATATTAGTAGCAAACTGAGATTTTAATTCATGCTTGAAGAATTATTTCTACCATCTACTAGTAGACCTGAGTCCTGACATCGACCTACCTAAGATATTGCTAGTTACCCTTTCAGGTATAGATAGATGCCAGAGAATAATGTAGTAAGAAAGCTAGGGGCGGTTTGTAGGTAAAGAGATATATTATGTTGATTGCTCATGCACCTTGAGGGGACTAACTCACCAATTGTGGCTAAGCTTTCTCATATTAAAAGATGCATTCTTGTTTCTTCTTTATAATGCAAGTCAAATGCATGTCATGGAGCAGTTTTTGTTGTTCACATGCATAGCATTACATGAAACGTGATTTTGTTAAGTAGAAAACCTGATGTTCACATATTATTTTTCAGTTTGTTTAAGTGTAGATGAGAGCGAGGATAACATCTATTGATGACTAGATTCTTCACTTATTGAGCTGGTCATGAACCTTAATTCTTTGACATTTTATTGGCTAGAGATTACTCAAAAACCATTAGAAGTTTGTATGTCAAGATTGATGAGAAAAGACTTAAGATGTAGCTTCCTGTGTTTATAATTTATCTTGAGGATATTTCTGTTTTGTGGATAATTTGAAATTAGCTTGAACTAATAAATTTAAATTTGTCTCTTGAGCTGATAAAGCTATTTCTGTCTTGCCATTCTAGCTGAAGTAATATGGTCTTATGCATTGGTTGAAAATTGAATCAATATTTTGTCTCAACTTGTTTAAATGTTTTCTTTCATCTTATATGAGGTATTATTATATTATGTAGACATTGTAAAACCATGTAGAAGGTGAGTCTTTGTATCATGGCAAGGTTGCAACTTGAGTGACCAACTACTGAATCACATGTAGATGGCCTCCACTTTGGGGAGAGCCCTTCTTTGTGAATGTCGTGTAGTATTTGCTAGCTGTATACATTTCGGTGTTTCCTGCATTGGAATCTGCGATGGAAGTGAAACTGTTTCTGCAAGGAATTTCCTAGAAACTGAGGTTTATCTCTCTTTGCAGGGATCGTACACACTTACAATGCGGATGACTGGAGAAGATGGGCAGCAACTGACTTGCATCACCTTCGGTTTCAGCATTGGATTCGTACCTGTTGCCTACAACTAGAAAAAGTCATGTATTATCGCCTGTAATAATATGGACTTACTTATCACAAGCCATCTGTGCTTCCTTTGTGAGATCATATCGTAAAACCTCTGCGTGTTATCGCCACGTTACAACGACGAGCATCATATATGCTGTATGTTTTCTGTAGACTAATATATGGAATGGTTTGGTCAGTTTAATTTCTTGGCAAGAAGGAAAGTTATTAGTCCAAAGCAGATTACAACATCATGATTCTTCTGTTTGCTTCTTTCTGTCAGTACTTTGAGATGATATGGATATGAATTAGTCATGCAATTGTGGTCTCTGTCTCCATTTTCCTGAAGCAGCACTTCGTGAGATCCTCCACAGCAATCATTCTTAATATACTTGTGACAAGTTCGTTGCTCTCTCAGCTTATTTGTCTATCAAATGAACACTTTGTTCCTGCCATAATGGTCAACCTGAGGTCAATATGGATAACACCTCATGATCTACTTGAACCTATGTATATATATATATAATCTCATCAAATCTCATTATGATCGCAATAAATATACCTTTCCTTTTGGTCAATTTAAAAGATTTTTTTGTGAGTAAAAAGAAAAGAAGTGAGAATTGGCAAAAATGAATTCTAAAATCTTAAGAAACCAACAGATAATCCGAATGACTTGGTCCTCCTAATAATTCAGAATGAAGCGGTTTCCCTCACCGCAAAACAAGGTCAACCCAACACCATCTCGCTCCAAGAATAGCTCACTCCCCAAGCTATTAAAGCCAAGCCGATCCTCCCACAACTCACTCGCCCTTCTCGCTCCCTCTCCTGCTCTCCACATCTCCCACACATACTAAGAGGGGAAAGATATCCAATGGCGAAGGTCCAGCTCCTCCCCGCCCTCGTTGCCCTCTGCCTTGCCCTCGCCGGCGTCGCGCTTGCTGCTCCTAAGTTCGTCATCGAAGGCCGCGTCTACTGCGACACCTGCCGTGCCGGCTTCCAGACCGCCGTCAGCCAGTACATTGCAGGTGATCCCATCTCATCTACCCCATCTGCATGCGTTCATGCAGGAGTACTGACAAGTGTGATCGACTTGCAGGTGCCAAGGTCAAGCTGCAATGCAGAAACTACGAGACCGACGCGGTGGAGCACCTGGTCGAGGCCGTGACGGACAGCACCGGCACGTACCACATCGAGGTGGAGGACAGCCACGAGGAGGAGATCTGCGAGGTGTCGTTGCTGCAGAGTCCGCAGCCAGGCTGCACGGAGGTGGCGCAAAGCAGGAACCGTGCCCGCATCCTGGTCACCGGCAGGAGCGGCTTGGCCTCCGACATCCGTTATGCCAACTCCCTTGGCTTCCTCAAGGACGAGCCGCTGCAACAGTGTGGGCTGCTGCTGCAGCAGTATGCTTTGGGCGTCGATGACTAAGACGAGAAGGCGAGGCGCCTAACATTAAGTATATGTATCACCTAGCTTTCCATGAAGCCATGGATGGATGACCTTGGTTTCGGATCCATGGAACTTAGATGTGCTAACAAAGCTTGGTGAAGTATTCTTACTGTTCTTTCATTCTGTGTTCTTGTGCTGTAGACAGTTTGATTGCTCAAAGATCAACAAGAAAACAAGCTGATGCAGTTTGCACCAAATCCGTCTCGAGTATATTACCAAAATCCATTCATCTCTAATAGTTATTGATCCATTAATTTGATGAATCACCTCAATGGGTGCTGTCCAATCTATTAACTCAGTGAATTCTTTTCCTAATTTTGGAATCTATTTAGGATATTATGGATGACATAAACGTCTTGTAATTATACTAAATTCTCATGGGAAAAAAATCATAAATATGAATTAATATTTATATTATATTATAAATATAATATAATATAATATAACATTGTAGGAAAATATTTTCTGGCGGATTCGGGTGAGGTGAAGCGGGTTATCGGATCCGTGGAAATCACACTAAACCCCTCTCTATCAATTGCGACCCCCATTCCCTGCCTCATCCTTCTTCTTCCTCTTCCTCGCATGGGGGCCCTTCGCCTCCCATCTCTCGCTCTCCTCCTCTCGCCATGCAAATCCCTACGCCTCGTCTCCCGTCCCCTCCCTCTCCGCTTCCGACTCCCCACTCTCAAGGCCGCGGCCTCCGTCTCCGGTGGCTCAGGCAGCAGAGGCCTATCGTCCCAGAGCCTCGCCAAGGAGGAGCCCTCGCTGCCCCCACCCTCGGCTGACCGGAAGCCCTCCTCGAGCTACGAGGGGTCGGTCACCCCTCGATCCGTGGACTTTAACGCGTGGTACCTCGATGTCATCGCCAGCGCTGAGCTCGCCGACTACGGCCCCGTCCGTGGCACCATGGTCATCCGCCCCTACGGTTACGCCATATGGGAGGCCATCCAGGTGTGCTGCTTCGCCATTCCGATCTTGAAAATAATTGTCGTCGTTGTGTCTGTGTCATTGGCTTCGTGTGTATGCGTTTATGTTTGTTCCTTTTCTTCACAGGAGTATCTGAACGTGAAGTTCAAAGAGACCGGCCACAGCAATATGTACTTTCCTCAGGTGTGATGTTGTTTCTGTCTATGATATGGAATGTCTACCTTCATTGAGGATTCTAGCTTATGCACGCAAGCCGTTTCTCTTTGTTATGCATTAACTTTACATGATTATGGAGATTCTGGTTTGAACTTCTCTTGAAACTAATCTTGGTCTATTAAGAAATAAAAGCTGTGAAATTGATTTAAGCACAAACAAGAAGTTTAAGTAAATATTCATTAACTGATGATGAGAATGAAGATGAAGTGATACAACTGGACAGGTCATATTGAAACTTTTTAAGCAATTACTTGTCTGTCTTCCTTGCAATGTGGAGAAGCCACTCTGTTGGCAATGATAAAGAAGGTAAAAACTTCAGAATTGCATCATGAGTAATCTGCTAACATAAATGATTGGATCATGGATTCACTTAAGCTGCTTGTGAACCTATGATTTGTGACATTTCCTATGCTTATTGTTTCACCCACAATTATTATCAACTATATAGTGTAGGAATTCAAGAGTGAGTTATCTGAAAGTATTTCCTTGTTTTCTATTCTTTCTAAATGGATTGGGTGGTTACCAAGAAATAATTCCTTGTAATCTTTGACATTTCTAGAACAAATTTATCTTGGAGATAATTGCACATGTTAATTAGGTTAAAAATACAAATTTGCACCTAGGTACCTTGGAAAGGTCTAGTTACTCGGTGGATTGAATAAAGATGCAGAGGTTAAGATTTGGCTAAAATAAATGTGGACATAAACAAATCTTGCTTCCAGCTTGAATTAGATAGTCTGTCAACATGAAATTTAACTTGGTTATCTGAAGTAACATGCCAACAATGTGCTTAACAAGGGATTAATGCCCTGATTCCGTCAGGTGGGGCCAATGGTAACATAATTATGTACAATGGAGCACTCAATAGAGCTGCATGCTTATTGTCCAGAAATAATGCAACACTTCCTCTTCAAAAGGCTTAGCATTAGGAATTTCCTTGGCTTTAATTGCATTTTGGGTGTTTATTCGTCACTCGCTGTATCCAACAGCTAGCTTTTATGTCCAGTTTGTAGTAACTACAGACCGTAAAGGAAGGTGATGGAAGTACAAGTGCTATACACGGTTTGGAAATAAATGCTGTGCCTACTAGGACTGGAGGAAAAAAAAGCCTAGGGAATTTTTTTTCCAACTTTATTGTTGTGATTAGTTTTTGAATTTAGCAACCAGAATTTTACCTCCTTTTGCATAACGTAGTTTGTGCTGGAATGCCTTCCTTTTCCTTAATCAAGTGGTCATAATACTTTGTTACTCCTTGAAAAGTGATTAACTGAATAGCGGAAACTATCATCTTATGCTACTTTTTGAGAGGGAAAACACATCTTATTAGGTTTACCCTGTGAGAACTGAGAAGTTGGCCAAGTGTATGAATAAACTGACAGTTTCTGCTAGCAGGATTTTTTGTTGGCATTTTAAAAGTTACCACAGCCCTCAGCGTTTCTTCTAGAACAAAATGCTGTCTACCACTTCTTGGCAGATGATTATATCATGTTGGGTAGATTACTTATCTATAGTTATATCTAGACTAGAGTTGGTATAGAATCTCATGTTGGGTATTATAGGAACTTTTTTGTAATTTTTTGTTAATTAACTTTTTACTGTTTGCAGTTTATATTAATCAGAAAATGTTCTTTCTCTGTAGTCTGATATATTGAGGCTTCCACATTTGCTTTTGTTTAAAGGCTTCCATTGCTGCAGTTTATTCCCTACTCATTCATAGAGAAAGAAGCCAGCCATGTTGAAGGTTTCAGTCCAGAGCTTGCGCTTGTCACCATTGGAGGAGGAAAGGAACTTGAGGAAAAGCTCGTGGTACTCATTCTATTCAATAAATCAACACATTTTCTGCTTCTGTTTTCATATTTTCTTGTATTTTGGATTTCAATACAAGTGTTCATCATAGTATTTGCTATGTAAGTAATCATGAGAATTAAATCTAAACTGAATTTTACATCTTTAATTCTGCTTTTGAGGGTTTGGCAGGTTAGACCAACAAGTGAGACCATTGTAAACCATATGTTCACTCAATGGATTCATAGCTACCGTGATCTTCCTCTCATGATTAACCAGGTTAGGACCCTTAACTGGTCATTTTCCCATTGTTCTACTTTGAAGACAGATTTTGACAATATTCTCCCTAAAACCAACTGCTAATCTTTCAGTGGGCTAATGTCACACGGTGGGAGATGAGGACCAAGCCATTTGTGAGGACCCTTGAATTCCTGTGGCAGGAGGGTCATACAGCTCATGCAACTCTGGAGGAAGCAGAAAAGGAGGTAAGCTTGATTATATCTGGATTGCTGAATGAATTTTACTTTATCTATATTTTTGATTTTTTTCTCTTCTTTTGCATTGCTGTGCTGCAGGCATTACAGATGATTGATGTCTATAAGAAATTTTCTTATGAGCAAGCTGCAATACCTGTTATTGTAGGTAGGAAATCAAGGGCTGAGACATTTGCTGGTGCTATACGAACCTATACAATTGAAGCTATGATGGGTGATAGAAAAGCTCTACAAGCTGGAACTAGCCATAACCTTGGCCAAAATTTTTCTCGTGCATTTGGAACACAGGTTATTACTTGAAAAATTCACTCATATAAACTTTCGTCATCTCTGTTCATTGTATAAGACTGTGCTTGATTCCAAAATCTGCTTGCTTGTGATATATTGTTTGTGAATTGAGATAAAGATGGGAAATTTGAATGCATTTTCCTAGTGATCAGTGACTTATATCGAGCATAAAGAATGATCATGCTTAAGGAAATGAAGAAAGCAAATTTAATATATTAAATAGTTTTATCTTTAAAAAATCACCATAGTTGAAGTGAACAAGTTCAAAGTCATAAAACATAAAATGGAATTGAAACGTATGTATAGGGGAGCAAGTAGACAATATGTTTGGAAAATCATGCTACAAGAAGCCCCTAGTATTTACATTTTTAAGGACAAAGTGGCTGAAAATATATTGGTATATTGGCTAATTTAGACTTTCCTTCCCGGGCCCCTTGTCTGCAAAGCATAGGATTTGACTGGACCTTCTTTTGAGTAAAGTTTGGTTCTACCTCATGTTTGTTCTTGAAACTTTTTGATAAGTATATACCTTTTTGTTTTCTGACACCTAAATAGATACAATACTGGAGGGTTCAAGTAAATGCTTGTGGCTTGAGAATTGTCTTAGTCTCTTAGCAAATCTTTTGCTTTTAGATGTCTTTCTTGTTAAGTCTGCTTATCGTCATTCTATCCAAGGTATGCGGTTTTGGATAATACCGTCCGTACCGGGCGGTACGTATCGGTCCGTCAGCTGATCGGTACACGGACCGCTCGTTACCGGATGGTATATATATATATATATACCGAGCGGTGTACTGTTTGGTATACCGCTCGGTACGTTGTATCGTACCGTACCAAGCGAATGTCGAAACGTCGTTACGGTATGATATTTCAAACCTTGATTCTATCACACATCCAGAGTTAAGCTCTTGTATGAAAACCGGGTTACAAAATAATGGTGTCTAATACTAATTCCAAGTTGTGTCATTAAAAATGTCCAGGGTATTAAGTCGTGAAAGCATCTCAGGTGTGGGAATTTGCAGATTGCTGCTTAACTTTTGTTGCTATCAATGTGATGGGTGCTACTATTGCAAGACTCAAGATGGATGCCCATATCACCTCACCTATTATACTCTTAAAGGCACTATCTTAATAATAAAAATAACAACTAAAATTTTGATATGATGCTTCAGAAAGCAGCACAAGAGGTAGAAGCCTCCAGGATTGTATCTATTTAGGTGTCAGAAGACATAAAGGTAGATACTTATCAAAAAGTTTCAAGAACAAACATGAGGTAGAACCAAACTTTACTCAGAAGAAAGTCCAGTCAAATCCTATGCTTTGTAGACAAGGGGGCTGGGAAGGAAAGTCTAAATTAGCCAATATACCAATATATTTTCAGCCACTTTGACCAATATATTTTGAGGAGAGGTGATATGGCCATCCATCTTGAGTCTTGCAATAGTAGCACCCTTCACATTGATGGCAACAAAAGTTAAGTAGCAATCTACAAATTCCCACACCTGAGATGCTTTCATGACTTGATACTTTGGACATTTTTAATGATACAACTTGGAATTAGTATTAGACACCATTATTTTGCAACCCTATTTTCATACAAGAGCTTAACTCTGGATGTGTGATAGAATGACCACAAGCAGACTTAACAAGAAAGGAATCTAAAAGCAAAAGGTTTGCTAAGAGCCTAAGACAATTCTCAAACCACAGGCATATACTTGAACCCTCCAGGATTGTATCTATTTAGGTGTCAGAAGACATAAATGTAGATACTTATCAATAATTTGAAGTACATGGTGGAAAGTACAGCTGTTCATGATGATTTGCTTTTTCTCAATCCAATAATTTGAAGGAGCCTTGCTTTTGTCACTGCTATTTTATGACTAAAAAAATAAGGACATGGTGGAAAGTACAACTGTTCATGATGTCCTGTTTATCTGTCATGTACAGCATGAGCCATCCTATTTTCACTGTATCAGCAGTGTTGCAGATGTTCACTTGTTTTATTGCCCATGTGCATGTATGCCTACATCAAGTGGGATGTTATCTATGTTGACAGTGGTTCTAATATAAGTATGGCATCTATATAATTCACATTTGGGTAACTGTCACGGTTAGCATATCATAGTATGCTGCACCATTCTATGCAATGCTATTCATCTTATCTTAGACTATCTTTTCTTTCTTTAGAAATAGCACATATGAGCAACCAATTTAGTATCAGTTCTGTGAGTTCATGCTTTCTTAATTTTAATGTTAACCATATCAAGTTTGAAGGGGATATTCCATATAAAGAGGAGCTAAAATAGAAATTTTTTGATCTTTTAAATGTCATGTTACTTGCAGTCTTGCAGATATATCTATCGATTGGTCTGGACTATTACCAAGAGCTTGTCTGACATCCTAATACTTTAGTGTTTCTTATATATATATGGAAACAGAGTTGGGTCCCAATGAGCTTTCTGCAGCTTGAAAATGGGGCAGCCGTATCTGAGTGCGTAGATTGATACTTAAAACAACATTTTGTGTGTCTGAGCTTCTGAACTTGGTTGATTGAGAGAACATCTTCTAACATCTTTTTAGAAACTTCTATAAGAAGAATTTGATTGAGATGTATCGTTACTGAGACTATGGGGTCTTCTTTTTCTGTGCTTCCTTGTTCCTACTCTATTATATAACTATTTTGGCTTGTACACAAGTCATTATTTTAGTGGATCTTTACATCCTTTAGAATGTATGCCTAACAGTTCACTGATGAAAATGGACAAAGACAACATGTTTGGCAAACTTCATGGGCTGTCAGTACCCGGTTTGTTGGTGGTATCATCATGACTCATGGAGATGATGCCGGTCTAATGCTTCCTCCCAGAATTGCGCCAATACAAGTAGGTTTTTCTCTTCTCTCTCTCTCTATACAGTTTAGTCACTGTTACATATACGTCAATTATGCATTCTGATCCTTGTGCATGTCAGATTATCAGGATGGCAAGTAAAATTAATTGAAACTGAACAGAATTGTGTAATTGTATGAAACATGGGACTTACATGGACGTAAATATCAGCTTTCAATTGGAACTTGATGGTAACTATATCTTGAATACTATGATGTTGTATTCACTGATTTCTGCTCAGGTCATATCATCTTTCAATGTCAGAAGTTGGAATTTCTTCTACTCAGCTTCCTTTTCTGCACTGTGGATGCTTGAACCTTCACAGCTTCAAAGAGTTTATTCTTTTTTGAAACTTCTCTTCTGTCATTGAATTTGGCTAATGAACTTTAAATGAGCTTCATTGTTCTGTTTGCCCTCCTTTTCCAGTTTAGTGCTTTGCACTCGACGTCCAAATATCTGTTTGGTTTTCTTTTATGCTTGTTTTGTGCTTTTTGATCTCTTACATTATTTGTAACTTGTGTGTAATAAATTCTTAGCTTCTGCCCTTCTTTCAAAGCCTCCATATTCAAGTCCACATCTCCTCTTAGAGCTAGGATCGAAGTACCTATTTGAGTAGGTTTAGTAATGTGAACTATCTATACCTTCCTGGACCCTAGTTAAGTGTTGACTATTTGAGTAGGTTTAGCGCATATGGACCAAGTGTTGACTAGGCCATCATTGCTTTCATATTGTGGATAATATATAGATTTGGACAATTAGCTAGTCAACCAGTTGTAAAACTCTAGACCTGAGATCTAGTCGGCTGGGTGGTTGACCAACTAACCAAACTAGTTTGGCTGACTGTAACTCTGGTTATGTCAATTAAATGACAAACAACAAGAAGAAAAATAATCAGAAGAAACCATAATGTCCCAACAATGGGTTTAGCTACACGGGTGTTTCCCACCAGTAAGCTGTATTAAGGCAATAACCCTAATTAGATCAAGAGCAACACCTGTTATGTTACCGTCAGAACTATTGGGTTAATATATCTGATCAACCACCATGAGGTATGTCAAATACATGGCAGTTGAATCTATCCATGAGGGCAAACATGAGGAGGCTTTTTATCTTGTAATGATTTGATCAATTGTAAGCAGCCTTCCTCCTAGGTTAAAATTGATCCTAGTAGGTACAACCTTCTGTTAAATTTCATGCTATAAAACTTGACCACTGAATATATTGCTTTGGCCTCATTGCTCAGTTTTGTGCAATAATACCATTCTTTTTATCATTTATCATCAGGTGATTGTAGTGCCGATCTGGAAGACAGCCGATGAGAAAAATGGAGTCATGAATGCCGTGTCATCTCTCAAGGAAGTACTGCATAAAGCAGAAATCAGAGTTAAAATAGATGACACTGAACAAAGGACTCCAGGATGGAAGTTCAACTTCTGGGAGATGAAGGTATGGATAACAACAGTGAGTGGAATAGTTTACATGGTTTTATCCATCAGTAACATATTAAAAATTTAAATGTATGCAAGCTCATCTTTTGCCGTTTGAATTTGAAATGACTTAGACCTTGACCTCTGGTAGCATTTCTATAAGTCACATGCCCCTTTGATGCAGTTTTTTTCTTTTTTCAGTTTGAAATGTATGAAGCCTAATCTTTTGTAATATTGAACTTTTTGCAGTCTGTTTCAATAAATTGTCTGTGGTGAAAGGGGTTTGACAGAACTTGTTGGGGAATGAATCATTAACTGAAGAACTTAGCCATGTCAGTTTCAGTTTATCTTGTTTCTTATGATATCTCTATCCTTGGCAGGGTGTCCCCTTAAGAATAGAAGTTGGACCTCGTGATGTTGCTAACAAAAGCGTGGTGGTATCTCGGAGAGATATACCTGGGAAGCCAGGTAAAGATTTTGGGATATCTATGGAACCTTCAGTTTTGGTAACCCATATAAAGAGCAGGTTGGAGGAGATCCAGACATCTCTTCTACAAAGGGCTACATCATTTCGTGATAGGTAAATTCTGACCCTCTGATGTGCTGTAATATTTTAAGTGAGAATTACAACTATGCGATTTTCTTTTTGTCAATCAAAGGAAACATGATTTATTTTTAGATGATTTATGAATTTTTGGCGAGTTCAGGCCTTTTGCTCATGTCTTTCCTTTGCCATAGTCCTGTCTCCACATCTATTTTCTTTGTATGCATCCACTTGATTAAATTTGATATGGGAGCTTAGCCAGTCGACATGTTTGATCCTATTCTTCCTAACTGATCATCCCTAACCAGCATATGATTTATATTAAAATTTTTCTCTCTTTTTGTGAGAAAAGAACTGTGTATGGTCCTCAAGTTAACTTGTCCTTTTTAAGGTATTCCAGAACCAACATTTAGCCCGAGCTATATGCCTGTCTAGAGTCAAATGGATGAGATCACAAAAGCTTACTCCTTGTTTCTTTTCTACATGTAAGTAGTCTGAGATTTCTGATACATAGTGAAGATGATACAATGATATATTGTTCTTCGTGATAACTAATCAGCGAGCTTGGAAATCACAAAAAGTTATGATATTTTTCACGAATCTTATAGTTTAACTGATTGCCTATGACTCGGAAACTGTTAATCATTTGTTATTAAAAAATCTTGACTATATTGCCATTTTCTACAAAGTCTGTTTCGCTATGCATGTCTTAACTTTTTTGCTGAAAGTGGAAGGGTGCTTTTACAGTAACATTGTGGATGTGAACTCGTACGATGAGTTGAAGGAAGCAATTGCTCAAGGTAAATGGGCAAGGGGTCCTTGGTCAGCTAGGTGAGAAGCTGAACTTTTTTAGCCTATCCTGCTCTAGATTAAGTAATAAACATTGTAATATGATGATGAGAGCCTATGTACTAACTATAACACTAAATTTCAGTGATGCCGAGGAGGTAAAAGTGAAAGAAGAGACAGGTGCAACAATAAGATGCTTTCCATTTGAGCAGCCTCAAGGGCAGAAGAAGTGCTTCATGACTGGTAATCCAGCTGATGAAGTTGCTATTTTTGCAAAATCTTATTAAATTCTTGGTGCCAATCTTAAGATTCGTGATTCAAGTTACCAATAGAGCATTTTCCTTACTCTCATGTAGTCACTTCACAATATTTTTTGCTATGGGGGAGTGTACTATTCATGTATCATGTTAGCATCTACACCATGAAGCTTCTAACATAAATATTTCTGCCTATTAACACTTTGATCAACTTTGTTTTTGTATTCATCAGTTTGCTTTGGTGGCTATGAGTATGAATGTTTTTGATCTTCTAGTTGACGTTGAACTAATTTTACCCTTATCTCATGCTTGAATATTTTTCAGTAATATAGTGATTTAATCATCGATCATCATCGTGCTTGGAAAAAAAGCAAACTGAATCAACATTAGTTCAGATTACAAGGAAAGGTAACTGAACATTTCGACATGTTAACATGAAATAGTAGGTGACCAAACGAGCCGGCGGTGTTCCCAGCTCAGGTCTCTTCTCCGGAGCAGGCTGCCTGCTTCGGCGTCTTTCTTTGATGGAGGTTGTGTCTTCTGCCATGCATCTGCAACAATGAACGATCAACCAAAGAGGTATGCTTGGTTCTTATTAGTTAGCTTACAAGTGTGAAATATTTATGGTAGCTGAAGAATTCCTCAGAGTTATTGAAATTTAAGTTAAATTATATTTAACATTTGATTTGGTATTTTCATGATCCCATTTGGTCCCTAAAATATGACAAACTAGTTTGAGAATTCTATATGGTTTTCATTTTCCTTGAACCTAGTTAGATCCCAAATCATAGTTTATACCCTATATGAACTCCTGATTCTTTGTTTGAGTGATGAACTTTGGAGTGGGATTTATGCTTCACTTGGATCTTTTCCCTCATGGGTGTCTTCCTCATGAGACATTTAAATGAGTTGATAACCTCATTATCCTGCTAAAACAAAAGGTATTAGCACATAATTATTTTTACCTCCTCATCCACATGCCCATCACATATCTTCTTCCCTTCCCTGGAACTGCAACTCTTCCCATCTTCATTGTGCTGGATTCGAGGGAAGTGAGCCCACTGGATGCTCAAATAACAAATTATTAGTCGTTTTCCTAAATTTTAATCACTTATCAAACCAAAAAAAAAAGAACAAAATATTTAATCTGATAACCACATAACCCTACTTTCCATTCTCAAAATAAGAACTCACATTTTTAGCAGCAGCACTAAATGCCTCCTTGTGGGTGATATTGGGTTCTCTAGCCTTAATCCTCACTATCTCTTCTCTGCAGTATACCCCAAAGTTGTCGGGTATAAAATGTCATTAGAAATTGCAAGACTGGGCATCTCAGTAGGTCTGATGGAAGTCATATACATGATGATGATGATGATGACTTCCATTACCTGATGAAGTGGTTATAAGCAGAAGGAGCCCGCTGCCTTTTCTCCGGAGCTGCCAAGAAAAAGAGAACAAAAGTACTGAATTGAGTGTGAGGTGATGTGAGAAGGATTGGATGTTCTTGTTTACGTTTGTTGATGATGGGAGCTCTTGTCGGACTCCTTGTCTCGTTCTCTGCCTCTCCAACACCTCCACCTCCACTGCTGCAAGCTTTGGGTCCCAAATCTTCTTGTTTCCCCTTAGAACACACACACATATATGTATACATATAAACACGTAGAGAGAGAGAAGGTTAACTGCAGTGCGTTGTACGTATAGTATAGCACCGTGTACCTCTTCATCTCCAAGGGAGGCAAGGAGTTCAACAGGAACAACAGAAGTTCTCACCAAGCTAACAGATAGCAGACCAGTGCAATGGCCGCATCGAACTGTTACCACCTTCAACAGGCTGCTGCATGGAACACTCACCTAAACATACACACACATGTAGTAGGATCAACCACCGAGTGATCACCGGAGCAAGCTGAAAGAGATGTACCAGCAAGATCGTGGCGCAGAAACTGCACTGAACGTAGCCCAGTTGCTCGGGGAGCTCAAGCAATGGGTTGCTTGAAGACATCATGCGATGGAGAGAGAGAGGTAGAAAGGGAAACTTGAACTGGATATATAGGGAAGGAGGGAGGGAGCTTTGCGGTGTAAAATGCTTTCTGGCTCATTAGTTCAGGCGATTGAGTGGAATTCCATGGAATCATACTGATGTTGAAGCTAATGTTGATCCCAACATTTATTTGTGTGGGGAACTGGCAGTTTTTGACTGGGAACACACACACAGACTTCGCTGTTGGACCTCATGTGTTGTTGTTTTCCCCTCCATTACTCTCCTTCCTTTCCATGTAGCCTGCGGAGTGGATGCCATGCATGGCATGCAGAGGGGGAAATCGGAAGGCAAAACTTCCATGCATGCTCCTGCAGTTCCTTCCTTGTTAGGTCACTGCTGACTACTTCCACCTCGCTGCTCTTCCTGCCGGATTCCCCAAACCAGTGCCGTCGAGCATCCATGTGAGCATGCACGAGGGTGACTTGGGTTGGCCCCCCGACGGCAAACTGGATGTGCTCCTTGAAAGGGAAGGAGGAATCTTTGCTTCATCTCTCTCTCTCTCTCTCTCTCTCTCTCTCTCTCTCTCTCTGGCGATGCAGCTGAGAAGTGCATGGGTGGAGTAATTTGTTCTGCCGTATGTAGGCATGGATCAGACGAGCTTCAACTAATGATTCCTCTTCTTTTGGGAGGGAGGGGTTTCTGAGGCGACCTGACCTTAACTAGGGTTCTTCAATGCAGCACCTACTTGGCTTCCACAAAAGAACCTTCCTTCCCCAGTGACTTCACCATCTCCTGGTAGCTCTTCTCCTCGGCAAAGAGAGTCACACTGCTCTGAGTTACTCCCTGACTGCAACTGTTGCCATCACCATGTGCAAACCTGATCCCGGTAGCCAACTTCATATATTAATTGAAGGTTATTTCAAGTCCATTTCAGCAGTGTCATAGAAGCTGACAGTCCTTAGCTTACTGAGTCTGATGCGGGTGTGTATTTGAATTGCCTCACTGTGTGGCTTTTGTTTCCACCCAAACTCCATTTTTCGGGGTCCTTACCAAAAGAAGATTCTAGAACCCTCAAAATATATACTATGATAATATTAGGATATTTAGATATTAAATAGACTTAAAAAAACCCATTTTTGAGACTCCCTGAAATAGTCCAAAAAAACATATATTCATCTAAAATTATTTTATTTTTTAAAATAAAAAAATATTTTTATTATGATAAGTAATGTAAGACTCCAAATCATTTTAGTCTAAAAAAATAAATATTCTTAATTTTTATTTATTATCAAATACATTTAAATTCTGAAAGGGTATTTAAGTCCTTTCATTATAAGGAGGAAAGATAATAAAAATTCTAATGTATTTATTACCCTCTTTTACTGTATTATAAAATAATTTTTACAATATTATGTATTTATTTTCAGTATAAAATTAAATATTTTAAGAAGCTTCGTGGATGTTTCTTTGAAATCAGTCGTTGATTGAGTCGTGTCCTATCCCAAAGACCGAGTCAGACCCAAAGGGGGCGGTAAGCTCACCGGTATCAACTCGCAGGGGGGGGTGGAATTAGTATATTAACTTAAGTGTAAAGTTCAATATTTTATGATGGAAACACGTCCGTCCATCCAACCGATCTTCCGTCGCACGCATCTCGACGCAGCTCACGCGGCCACACGGTTCGAACACGTAAACGCACCTCCACACCACGACGACTTCGAGTCCGTTGACGGCGACGACGACTTGCGAAAGGAAGCAGCAGCAGCAACTGCAGGAACTAATCCATAGCGAAGGAGAAGAAGGCCTCGAAATCCCCGACAGCCTCTCCTCCTCCCTCGCTCGTCCTCCTACTCCTCGTCCTCGATCGGACCCGTCGGAAAGAGGTCAGTGATTGTTTCTTATCTCTCTCTCTTTCGCTCTATGCTTTGTTTGGGCTCTTGGATTGGGTGCGTTGTTCCTCGATTTGTTTCTCGTATAGCAGCATCCGATCGGATCGCTCACGACTGTCCTCCTCGTTCAAAACTTCAATTTGATATCCTAATTAGTCAATTGCACGCCTGGATGGTACCGCGAAGGAAGGAACACGAACGAGATGGGATCCCAATTCATCTGGAATATGTGGAGAAACCTTGCTTGTTCTGTCTACCTCAGCGAGTGACTCTGACATACTGTGTTTGGAGTGTGAAATATTCCTGCTTGATTTGAGGCGATGACAGAGCGATGGAATCCGTGCATGAGCTATTTATGCAAATGAAAATTAGGTCACCAGTTAATCTTACAATAGAAAGGAAATAAAAAAAGAATTCAGAATTCTCAGCACGACTAATTCTTATTTTGTATGCCTTTGAATTTTAGATGCTTTAACAGTTTTTTTGGAAGAAGTTCAATTAGGAAATCCAATCACCAGCCCCTGCTGCAGTTGCTTTGGATTTGTTTGTCTACTTGTCCTGTTGTATTTTGGGCTTATGCGTGTATGCAGCAGCTCTTCTGTACTCCCAATCTTTTGACATACTGCATCATCTCCATCTTAAACCATGAACATAGGCTTACAAGTCTGAATTTTGACTTCTATACGTGTGTCAGCTCCTAACAATCTCCTATCCATATGTGCAAAAACAAGTGTTCCCATTGGGCATATAAAATCTTTTATGTCGTTTAATTTTGTTGTTTCAATTCTACGATGTGCATCTTTTGTTATCATAATTATTGACTATTGTGTTACTGAAATTTGTTTGTTCTTATGTAGTTGTGGTCTTGTGAAGACGTTGGATGGACAAATTAAGTGCTTCTCTGCCCCCAGGGTTTGGCTTCCATCCGACAGATGTTGAACTTATCTCTCACTATTTGAAGAGGAAAATACTAGGACACAAATTTGATGAACTTATACCAGAATTGGACATATATAAGCATGAACCATGGGACCTACCTGGTAATTTAGCTGTATAGTCTATTATTTTGTGTTCTTCTCATAGATAAATGTTTTCTTAGTAGAACTGATAACCATATGATTTTTTGTGAATAACGAAATTTAGATCTGCGAGATCTTGTGAACTGAAACTTTCTTAAGTGGACCATCGTGTAGTTGAACTTTGTTTTACTATTAAAATCCTTGTTCCCTATTAGGACCTAATCAAGTTAGGACCTAATCTTGATTATGAACCTTCATTAGGACTGCAAATCCATGTTAAAACTTAAAACGACATTAGTAACTTGTTTAAACCGATACTAGATTATGAGAAATTATTTATATCTGATAGGGTTTTTGCATTTCTGATGATTCCTAGCTAGTACCTGCTATAATATTCTTCTCCATTATAATCTTTTGCAGCTTAATTTCTATCTAGTACATTTTTGTAACCCAGAAATTGTCCTGCTTATCTGTAGACACTAAATTGTATGGGAATTTTTTGTGTGAAATATATCTCAATTTCCTTGCTTCTCTTCTTTATTTCACTTGCAGCAAAATGTCGTCTGCCCACCAGAGATAGCAAATGGCACTTTTTCAATTTACGTGACAGAAAGTACCCTAATGGTTCTCGCTCAAACAGGGCCACAGAAGAAGGTTATTGGAAATCCACTGGGAGAGATCGGAATGTCAAGTTCCAAAATCGAGTTATAGGAACCAAGAAAACTTTAGTATTTCATGAAGGTCGGCCTCCTCGTGGAAAACATACTGATTGGATTATGCATGAATATTATATAGATGAAAAAGAATGTAAAGCTGCCCCTGGTTTGAAGGTAAGACTTTTGCTTTGAGTGATATTTCACAATTTGAACTTTCACATCTGCTATCAGAAATAAAGTTTGCCTGCATGAATAAGGATGGTATAATAGTACACGTGTCATGAAGAATGTTAAAATCTGCATAGAGGGAAGAAAAATGAAATGTCAGTCAAAGAAATGCTAAACCTTTTAATTCGAACTCCAGTAACTTATCAGAGAGAACTTCTCATCATTCCATATTATGCTTCTGTATGATGCAAGAGGCTCACACTATCATTAGTAGGTGCATGGCCAAATTCACCTTGTCTTTTGAAAGCCAACCATCGTGCTCTTTTGTTTTTCCCTATTTCGGGAATGTCAGAAGGATCTGTTTCCTGCTGCAATGACAGTCTTCCTGAGGGCCAATTATCATACTTCTTTTTCTCATTTTTGGGAGGTGAACACCTCTTTCCTCCCTATGTGCAAAGCACCTGGTGGGTTCAAAAATACCTTTTCTGGTTAGTTGAACTGTTCCAAGGAAAATAAATGCATAAAAAAAAGGGATAGAAAATACTTTTAAGATAAAATTTTCCATGTGTATGTCCTTTTGATTTATTTATATTCTGTTTAATCCCTCATGAATTTCCAATCCAATTTTCTTCCATTCTATTAGATAAGAATTACAGCCACTTAAAGCACCGTAAAACCCATGATGGCATGATGTTTGGTTGTTCAAGCATTCTATTAGATAAGAATTCCATGTGTAAAGCAGTTTGGTTGTTCAAGCATTGATGGCATACATTATCTACCCCACTGTAGGTCATTGAATCTGAATTTTCAATCATCAAAATATATCTTTTTGGATTCACTTTTCTCTGTTTCTTGCTACAGGATGCTTTTGTTCTTTGTCGTGTTACCAAGAGGAATGGTTGGCAAGTAGAAATTGAGAAGATTGAACCAATGGGATGCAAGGAATCTAGTCACTCAGGCGAGATAGATGACATAAATGCATGGGTTGCTGAGCTCTTTGATCCCGACTTCGGCGCTCCCGTTAATGACTTCAACACTCCCTCTACTGACTTTGGCACTTCCTCTAATATGCTAGAGCATGAAGCAGAGGTATAACCCAATCTCCTGTAACACAGTCTAGAACTTTCAACTGGGCACTGACCTAGCGATTGATTCTTCTCTTCATCTTGAAGAGGCTCCAGATTGAATACTTCTGGAGATGCTGCTAAGAATTTCGCATCAATAGTTCTTTTGATGTGGGATTTCAGGCACGGCAGTGGCTCAGAATAGTGAAGAACTCATCACTTAGCATAAATTTAAACAACATCAACTAATAAGCTGAAAATGAAAAACAACTAACTAAAATAAGATGGAGGTTATTCATTTCAAGTGTTAAGTGGATCAGAAATTTGTATCAATTAAGTTTTGTGTCAGCTATAAAATAACTATATAGCTGATTGTTAACAGTTATCTGACTGTTGATTCAAATTTTTCTTTGCCCTGTGAATGACCCTTAAGTCTACTGTGAAATATATACTATGAAACGAACCAAGTAATGATTTTCGTGCAGCTCTTTAATACAATCGTTGAAGGGATTTTATTTCGAATTTCTGACTAAGTAATAACAACATTCTATTATGTGAATGTAAATTGTAAAGTACACAACTCTATATATTGTGGTCATGAGTTTAATACATCTATTCCATTTCTTTTTTTAGATTTCACAGACAGATCTCAGGTCTCTTCTGCCAAAGCAGGAGCCAGTGGATCATTATCTTGACCAAAGTGCTGAAGGTGATCTTGACTACCTATTAGAAGGTGACATCTATAATATCTTACAGTCTGATAGCGTACTTTGGGAGTCCAATGGAACCATAGATACTGCATTCACTACTGAAAGCAGTTCTCCTGATGGAAATGCTGGTAAAGAGAACTTTACATCATTTGGTCACAATGATACCGGAATTCAGATTCGGCCACGCCGTGCAGGACCTGCAGCTGAGCTTACCTCAAAAAAGATCAGACTTCAGGTTAGCAAGATGGAATCGAGGGGTTCTGCATCAGTCAACCACACTGTCAAGATTGACAAAGAAGATCGTCATCTTGATCTGAAAAAAAGTCACAACACTGATTTCAGTGCATTTGACCAAGAATCTGCAGTTGGAAAGCTGTCAGTTTGTTTTCATCGGGCTGATGCAAAATCAAATCCAAGCTCTGGTTCCAATCTTCCATGTTCAGTTGCATCTAGGTCCCTACTGGGGGCAAGACCAGCAACTGATGTTACTCTTCAGAAGTCTACCGGTGCACTTGATGATGCCAGCTGCATTCGAGGAATTCTCAGGAGCCTGGGAATGGCTGTACGTGCACTTCCATCAGCTGGGTGGAACTGCTTCATCCTCAGTGGTTGCATCATTGGAATTGCTGCCCTTTTAATATGTCTTCTGCTGCGTGATGCTCGAGGTTTCCTTGCTAGCTTCTCATCTCTTTGGTTGTAAGACATGAAACAAAGCTCATTGTTCTGTTTGGATTTCTACTTATGGAGGAGGTTTACAGAGGCAGTTCAGTGTTTTACTTGGATTACTACTTATGTAGGTTTACAGAAGCAGTTCTTTTTCAAATTTGACTTGTTTGAAGAGAAGCTCTGATTTTGCTCCTCGCCATCGAGTTACGCATATTCATGTACAGAAGTAGGTCATTTATATTTACTCCTAGGTGATAACGATGGAGGATGTCTTTTGTGACTGATGCTTTGTCCATAGTAAATGTGGACCTGACCTTTGTAAATTCATCCTTCTTGAAAATAGTTTCATCTGTTTTGTTTGTTGAACAAATATTTTTATGGATATCATATTTATGTCATAGCATCTCAAGACTGTTCAGCTCCCATTCACAGCAAGCAATTGGGTTTTGGCATGGACCAGCAGGATTTATATCACAAGTCTGAGGTCTGAATGCTTATTGTTGCATATATGTCATTTATGTAACATATCAAATGTTATACATAGTGAAAGCAGTATTACATATTTGAGATCATGCAAGCAACATTTGATATTTCTGTGACGAAAAAGAGCCTTGTTTTCACTGAAGTTTTTTCTAGCCTCCCATGACACAAAGTGAAACATATTTCTGTAACTTTTTTCACTCAAGATCATGTTGCTGTATATATGTCCTTTGGAGTCATTTTCACTTGTAGATGGCACTAAAACAAGGTAAGGTAAGAGCACCAACATGATATGCACTAGCAATTCAAATTTACTGCCAATAATCTGTCAATGTTAGGTGTAGTGCCATCAAGGTTTTTCTTTTGTGAAAAAGAAAACTATCCTATTAGTTCCTCATAGATCCAAAATGGCAAGCAACACAGATGGAATGTGATCCAATTATTCCTAGAAACCTATGCACCTTGTCGTGTTCTCTAAAACAGTGAATGTAGACAAAACAAAAAAAATAAATGTATAAGCCATTGAATATCGGCTATAATATGTACAATCATCCAAGGAGGAGCCTTGCCATCCATTAAAATCTCATTATCTCAGAATCCATCTGAAGTTGGATTCGCTTAAATCCATCTCCATGAGTATCAAGGTTACTTTGTTGCTGACCATGTTTTCCACAAGAAACAGATGAATTGCTTATCTCATGCAGTCTCAGTATTCAATACCAAACAACACTTAGGACAGTGTGATATTAAAAGAATCATGATTTATAGATGTATATTCATCTCAAACATTTGAATTGGATCAGTCTACAAAAGAATAGTGGTTTATACATATTCATTTGAAACTTTGGATCAGTCTAGCAAACACAAAACAAAGGAGGACACCCAGTTGTATATGTTGAGGGGAACCTTTGCCAATTTAATTACCAGTTGAATGGATTCTGCAATTGAAACAAGAAAGCATGTCAAGAGAGAGAGAGAGAGGGGATAGTGTTTTAAGCTAAAACCTCAAACGACAATTGAAATGTCCTGTAGCTAGTAATTGCATTAGGAATCAGAGTAGTTGTTTTTACCCTGCTTAGAAGATTTCAAGAAGGAAATTAAATGAAAACTTAAGATAACTTACCAACTTGTTCTTCTTCTTTTTCTTCTTCTCAATATAAGCAAGAAACTCCCCTTGTCGCACTAAAGCATCCTCCAGAGCCTGCAAAACATCGCTAAACTATTGAGCCTCAAGTAAATGCACCATAGTTTCTACATTTTTAGAGGATCCTTTTTCGGCATAGAAGGAGGTTGGAGGGCTTTAATTTGCTATAGCCTCAGATCATAGCACCATTAAAGAATGATTGAGGGGATACATTCAAATTCTTAGCTTCATGGCAGGCTAGAAAACACCTTAGTTAAAAAAACTCTTTTTGGTCACAGAAATATCAAATTTTGCTTGGATGATCTTGAGTTTTATATGGTGTTCACAACCTTGGGTCATTGGAAACTGATCTATGAAGTGTTTCAGAATTATTCTTAGAAAACAATGAATATGATCAATGTGTATCCACAGACATCTGCATATGTTTTTTTGTACCTGTGTTTTGTACTGTCAGCTAAAAGAATAACTATATTTGATGCTTCTCAGGCTCTTACCTTCTTTGTTGCTGCAAGCTCTGTTTCCAAAGCATCCACACGCTTCACAGCAGCATTCAATATCTCTTCTTTCTCAGATGGCATCTGTGGAGGCTTCTTGCTGAGGATGCTCACCTTCTCTTCAAGGTTGCCGAGGCGCTTCAGTGCGCTTGAAAACTCAGCAGCTGGGAGAGTTGGTGCTGCAGGCTCAACAGGCTTTGCACAGCCAATATCTGCATCAGCAACCTTCTTTGGCATGCCACGGCTGACACGGAGCACGGTGAAAACTCCCATGACAAAGGCCACAACTCCTCCAAAGATGTTGTTGTTGAATCCATCTGGACCCCTGTAAATTTCAGATGGATTGCAGGCACCTGTGATGAATTGTAGATCATCAGTACCTCAATGTTCTCAAAGTATATGCATATCAGCTAAGAATGATATGGACCTTTAGAGATGGCAAGCTTCTCATCTGGGATTTCTTTGTTCCAGCAAGAATCCACAGCCTTGTCGACGATTGGAAGATAATCACCATATGAATATGGTGTGGGGAATTTCTTATCTGCAGCCTGGACATGCAAATTCTTATGAGAAGATTTGAGTGTTAAAATGTAACAGTGCTTGAAGTTGACTCATTTGTAATTTCTGGTTTTTTTGTGTAGCTGAACTTGGGAAATCTTTAATACAAGAATGTAATAATTGAATGATCAATTCAGTAATCTTATGGATTTGACAGAAGGCAGAATCCCTCCTTAGAGTCTGATGTTCTACTTTTCCTTAATGCTTCAGAGTTCAAAGGTGGTTTATAACAGATGTATCATTCTTGTTCATGCAGAATCATTTAATTAGCTAGACTTCCTCGCTAAATCAATGTGAAAACAACCAGGAAGAATGAATTGCTCCATGTTAGAAATTCCAAATATGCTTGTTAAACAAAAAAATCAAGATAAAGTTTCTGTCAACATATTTCTTCTGCTCGTAGTTGAGTCTTTGAACAATGATGAATAAATCATAGTGAAAACTCAATATGACATAGTTGATAAAAACCATAATTATAATCAAACCTTCGACTAACTCAGGAACCGATCTCAGTGGTGAAAGAAATGAAATGAAAACAGCAAAGCTCAGGTAAAGATCCAACTAAGAGTTTTTTGTTTTTTGTTTTTTTTGGAGTTGTAGAGCCTAATGTAGATTTTTTAGTGATAATTATCCCCAACTAGAAATTACCTTGCAATCTGGAATATCTAATTCTTCATGAACAGGTGATGGTTGTGGGTGTACTATATGACTCCTTGAAATCTTGGAAGAAACATTATCTGCAGCAAAGACTCTTACCCCGCAGTAAGACTCTTGCCTCTTCATATTGGGAAAAAAATTGATTAGTAGTGTGTATTATGAAGTTCCAATGAACACAAACTCATTAGCAAAATTATATAGAAGCACAGGAGGAAAATATGATTAATTTTCACCTTTGGATACACTATTTCATCTTCAGAAATTGTTTTTTCCTCAGCATCAGTAGTCGGCTGTTGCCTTCCGCAGCTTCCAGCTCCATTTTGAACCATCTGTATAGGTCAAAGTATCAAAATTTGCACATTGATCTTTGAGGGAAATCATATCAAAGGTTACGTGCAAAATTTTAAGCATAAAATCATATCAAAGATCACATGCAAAATCTTAAGCACAAAATTAATGCAATACCTTCATGATCTCAGGATCCTTCCATGGGCCTTTATCTGATCGAAGACAACCTCCTTCGCAGTTGCAAGTGCCACCAAGGAACTCAGGCAATTCACTTGTAAAACCATGAAAACAATTAAGATCAAGCCCAATAATTTATTCATGATTCTTTTTTTTTCACCATGTATTTTTTTTTTTCACTTTTCTACAGTAAAGTTGATCATTATCTACCGACATCGATAAGGAATGTCCAAACAAGAAAGAAAAACTCTAGCCTTTAGCTATGGGAAGATACCTGGCATCAATCACTTCAAGCAACTTGCTCTGGTACTTGTTTCCAAGAACCTGAAGGAAGTTCTTATCAGATTTTTGAGTCCTTATGTTGTGTGCAATTTATGATAGAGATCAAAAGCTTACGTTGATTTTTGCGGTGGTCTTTGGGTCAAGGAAGGACTTTACAGTGCTCCAAAGCAATCTAAATCCCTGGCCTGCATTGATGATGAACATGCGGCACAAGGTCTGTGACATGGGAAAAAGTTACATTGCGTGATCATTGAAAATGCCATCAGTAGCATAATTGGAAGCCCAGAATTCATGTTGCTTGAGTGAGAAAGGTACCTCAGGATAATTGTCACCATCAACTTTTTGAATACGGCTTATTAAATCTCTTGCGACTTTATTGAATTGTTTACAGCCCTAACATTCAGACTCATGGCATACACATTAGTTGAGAGGAAAAGAGAAGAAACAAGTCATAATACTACCTGATATACTAAGAAATATCCTCTGATTTATCATGCAGAGGTTCAAAATAACTCATCTTTATTGTAATCCTTGCTGAACATAACTTGAGCTGCTTATGATATATTTAAAAGGAGGTTTTCATAAATTTGAAAAGATGAAAACAGCCATCTTGCGCATACATACCACTCCTTGAACGTCAATGATAGTTGTGCTCTGGTCGATGTGGCGTTTTGCTGCAATTGAGCAAGCAGGAAACTTGACATCAAAACTCCTCTCAAACTCCTTCACATGGTATTTGATATACCGATCCATGGTTGTGACTTGCATCATCTTGTTGGCATCGACTTGGCCTAATCTCTCAATGTAGACAGGCCTGCCTTCCTTATCTACTCCATGATGACCTTGTGGGTAGTATTCCATGACTTGATCAAGTTCTTTGAATTCAAATTCCTAGCAGATAGGTGGTGGAAGAAGTCATAACATGATACTGAAATGGTAAACATGTAACAGGTTATAACATATAAGCATATGGACTGGTAACCGATGAACAGTCGGTAACAATCTAAAAGATGAACATTATGCTTTATTGTCCAACATTGTTTTCCTAGGCTTCTTGAGTACCCTTGGCTAGAAGAAGATATTATATTAAAAATCTCTTTTAGATGAAATCTTCGAATGCAAAAATGACTTTTAATTCATTCTTCTACTCTTCTTTCTTCTTTTTTCTCATGAAATTAGGCGTCCAGATATGTCTCCCCATCTACCAAGCAGTGTACTACATATTTAGTCATCTGTAACCATATATTTTTCTTTCTGAAGACGGTGTTTTGCAGAAAGAATTCATAATTAAAGGAGTTGTACCAACTAACAAAGCTCAAC